CTGATTGCATTTGATTGCTCTTTTGGGGTCAACTTTCCTGGCCCAATCAGCCCCGCTTAGAACTTCGGAAGGCATTTGATGATTCGACTCTGGAGTTATAGTCTTTGGGTCACAGGACGTATCAACATGGAAAAAAACACGGAAGAGAGAGGGAGAGAGGGAGCGAGAGTGCGAACGCAACAGCCAGGGAGCCATGTAAGCCAAAGATAATGTAAGCCACCGGCGAAGCCCACCCAACGACTCCGGCACCCCACCCGAACGCCATCCCGGCGAAGCGGCACCAGCACCAGGAGGTCGAAGATCAGCGCCTGTCCGTCCGGGAGAAGCGCCGGAAAGGCGGAGCGGCCCAGGGCGGAGCATGAGAGACTGGATCCACATGTGCACTGCAGCGGTGCGGAAGTCGCCTGCAAAACAAACCACTTTCAGTCGGTTTCAAGTTGATGGCCGCACCCAGTGCGGCACCCCTTTTAGGTGTTTTAGATGGGGGTCCATAAAGCACCGACATTGGGGGCCCAGTTAGGGGCCCTTGTGCCATCTACTCTCTATATCCGATAGATGAATCCATCCTTGCTTCTGCGGCCAACAGAAGCACCTTCTAAAAATAATCTAAAATCGTCTTCCGGCTTTGCCGCGCCCTCCGACCATGATGTAAATGATGTAAAGGAGAATCGATGTGAACCCGTTCATAGCTACATACCCATCGAATCAGCATCATTTTCGCCTGTTCTCTTTTGTTCCGTGGGCGCCGCGGGAGGCGAACCTCCGGAACTGACCAATGAGGAACTCAAGGCCGCGGGCGAACAGATCTTCAACTCCAAAGAGGTGCGAAGAAGCTGGTGTCGACCCCAGGGCCGACCCTAGGGTCAACCACAGATGACCTGATGACCTGGGCTTCCCACTTTGGTTCTTCTATGTTCTTATGAACCCCATAGCAAAGAGAGGTTCATAGACCCCATAGAGACCTCAAGCAAAGAGACTCCCATCAGGACTCATTGGTCTCGTCTCGCCGAAGGTTGTTCTGCATGCGTGCTGTTGGCAGAAGACATGACATCGTGGTTTTTTCGTCGGCCTTCCTCACTGATGGAAACCTGGGGGTTTCGCTGTTGGGCATACCTGGAGTGTTAAACATCAAATCAATCAATTCTTCTTTTGGACAGTTATATATTGCTTTGTTTGTTTGAAGCTAGGCCTCCCAGTGCGATGCTTAGGACCATCAGGTCGGTACGTTCCTTCTTTTCGTGCTTGATGTTGACTAGCTCTGCCACTGAAGCTACTCTGCCTTTGGGCCTTTGGGTGCCTTTCCAAAACGATGGATGGTTAGCCTTGCGAAATCGCACCAGTCCAAGTCCAGATGTTCCGTGGATGTCCGTGGCGAGTTGATCGATTCTTGTGCGGCTTGCAGGCAAATTGGAATCTGACCACTCAAATGATGCCCACATGATGGGAGTGACTCAGTTACTCGCACGAGAGGCCTTCAGCATTTTGTCCAACGAACTGTACAGTCTTCAAACTCAGATGCCACTGGGCCGCAAAGCTTTCAAGCAGCCCTCGAGTCTTCGAAAGTCTTCAGCTTGGGATGTGCCAGACTTCTAGACATTTCTAGCCTGGACTTGCAGCACCATCCATGGGCTTGGTCACGTTCCATCCATCAGAACTGCATTGCTGAAGCCCTCGGGTCGGGCCCGAGCGCCTCGCCTCGCCTCTTTGACTCTTGGGCCTCGCCGGTTCCGCCGGGTTCCTCCGGTGGAGGCGGAGTCGGAGTCTGGCCCAAGGACCCAAGGCATCCAAGCCGATGCGGTGGACTTCAACGTCTATCACTGGGCACCTTGCTACATCCGCAGCCGACCGAAAAGCGGAGGTGCTGATGGGAAGAGAACTTGGAAGACGAAGACGGACATCCGCAGACAGCAGACGGTGGACGCTGCAATCTGATGATGTCATTTTTTTGGGGGGGTTGACTACCTACCACACGAGCCCTCTAGAAGCCACACTGCAGGCTTCCGCTACCGTGGGGATGGAGATGGATCAATCCTGGCAATCCAGGGCTTTTCGCAGCATGTCGCCGCATTCGTTTGGGATGAGAAGCACGTAGAGCTGCTCGCATGTGAAACCATGTGAAATAGGAAGCAAGGCACTCCCCTCAAGGGTCTCTGTGAGACTCCTCCAAAGGCTCTTCTATTCAGTTCAGTGGTCCCCACCTCTGTGCGGCCGCCTGCGCTAGCATTGTACTATACTTGTTTGTGCTTCGACCACAGCCATGATGTAAAAGCTCGAATGCCAAAAACATATTAATATACTGTACACACTTCATATCATGATCATCACACACCCACTCCCTTACCGATCCTCTTCTGGATCTTTTGGCCGCCCCCTAGACCGTCTCGGACCGTGTGACTGCACGTGCGGTCCCCGCACCCAAGGCGGTGCGGCTGCGGGGCTTCGAGGGGTGCTTGGCCGAGGACTTGAAGCAGCTCCAGGCCTCCCAGGGCAGCTCGGCGCGGCAGTATGCCACAGGCATTTCGGTGGGAAGAAGAGTGTTTGGAGCGGCTAGTGGTTTTTTTTTCTCCGGGATCGGAGCAGTGAAAGGATGTTTTTCATGGCCCACAAGGCTGGGCGATGTTTTCGTCGACGACTTGATGTGATACGATAATATGATGCGATGTTCGGATCAGACTCGGGGGTTTTGTGAGTCTGTCATCTCCACTGCCAGTCCCATGCGTGCACATAAAACTAATCTTAAAAGATTTGTGTTCCCATGCGATGTAGAGGAAGTCACTCTTGACCAAGCAAACCCCCAGATCACGAGGTTTTACAATCCAAATGTTAGGAATTATTAGGAAGATATTATACAGTATATAGTTATTTGAACATGTTTAATCCATTGCTGGCGCAATCAGTATCTACATTCATTAATGCTTGGTAAGAGTGTATCTCTTACCATCGCTTACCTATTCCCCACTCCAACCATCCTCATCCACCTACGGAATCTGCAGCACCCGCGGGCCTTCTCATCTCACTCCCACCTTCCCACCTCCCCCCTGGTCCCCCCACTTCGTGCTCTGTCCCTTTCTGTCTGACGACTTCATGAGGCTACGACTTCGTGGAGCTGCGGGTCTTCTTCAAGGAGGACTTGCACCCCTTCTACCCGCCCAGCTTCGCGCTGATCCGTCCCAGATTACAGGGCCGCCGCTCGGTGAGGGGCGATGAAATCAAGAAAGAGCGTGAGGACCGAGCGGTTTGGAGCGTAGCTCCGGTCAGTTGGATGGTGATATGGCACAATGGTGTGTGTGTTTTGTTAAAATAATCTTCTCCGCTGGGGAAGATTCACATGGAACCTGAGAATGAACACCTTTGGAAGGCTAGCTTCCTCCACATGTTCATCTCCGAGGGCGTGACGGAGGATTTCATGGGAGTCATCGGTCAACAGACGTCTCAGAACCCGTGGGTTGAGAAGATGCTTTTTGATCCACGCACTACGGATGCGGTGCTAAACGAGGAAATTCTGAACCCATGGGTGGTGACCAATCTTGAAGGAGCAATGGCCATAGCCGGACTATGCCAATTGCTGTACAAGTAAGCTATTTTCATCTATTATCATGATAGGTGAGAAACCTAAACCTGAAACATCAGTATCTAAGTATGGAAGCAAGTAGCTGCTTGGACAGCTCTTCCTTCAGCACAGCACCTGGTAGCTCTTCCCTGACCAATCCCCAGTCCAGTCCGAACATCACCCGTCCGATGACCTGCTCGCCCAGGATACGATGTCCAGGCGGCGCTCGCCTGCCATCCGAGGCTCCAGCTGAAAGGCTGGAGCCCCTTCCAGTGCTGTGGCTAAGCCAGTCGACACGTGGACCCACCGCATTCGAAGGCCATCGAAGGCCAGTCCCGGCGACTGTGGAGGCATAGGCATCGGTCCGGATTTGGTGGTTGGACAGTTCTGGTTCTACATGTGGCAAGGTGTCGGTGTAGATATAAATCGACAGTCATAGCTGTAAAGTTCGTGGTCCAGGTCCAGGTATAGATCCCTGATGGGACGATTGCGAGGGTATGAGGCCCGGGAAGTTCATGGGTCGTCTGGCCGATTGGAAGGAGGATGGACCGTCCAAAGCACACCCGCCGGGCGAGGGCCACGGTAGAAACTGGGCTCCGTTGTTCCACTCAACCAGCAAGAACTTCGGCCAATCCTGATTCACCACTGCATTCGGGTGTCGTTCCGTATGCAACACCTACGGGAGGTGAGTCCTTTTCATGTGCAATGCAGTGAAGCGTATGATGCTTCACGGGCTTCCGCGGTCCCCCTTCGCGTGAAGTGTAAAAACCTTTGAAGAGGCCCGGGGTGGCGAAGTGATGCACCTTTCGAGTCTAGTCACAGAAAGATGTGAAGCCCAAAACGGTGAAACCGAGAGCTGCTGAGCTGCTGTTTCTGTCAGCATGAAAAGACGTCCCAACCTCCACGAGGTTCACTGCATACAACAGAACATGTTTGTCAATTGGTTTTGGTATGGAGCCATCATGAGCCATGCCTCCAAGAGTTTGTTTTTCTTTTTTTTGGGGGGTGCAGCTGAAGGAGTGAGCATTATTCAGCACTGTTTGGGTTGTCACTTTGTAGATGCAACATGATGCAAGAACTATTGAATGTATGACCTGAAAGCCTTCTCGTGCCGGTACTTCCACCAGCCAGCTGTCCTTGAAGCACAACATGGACACAGCGGCAAAAAGCTTCAACTATGGCACATGACCTTGAGAAAGTTCTCTTCACAACTTGTTCGTCTTGGCAAGAACAACGGTATGAAGCTGCGGCATGCTGCCAGCGCCTACCTGCGCGATCCTGTGTCCTCCTTTCTCGCTCCAATACTGAGTATACTCACTATATAGTACTCATGTGACTTTGTCTCAGCTGTCCACACCAACTGATTTAAGGTCAGTATATGATCCAATTTCAGTACCCCGTCGTTGATCCTCCAATCTATACTTCAATTTGCTGCCGCGCTCCGCGCCCCATGGACTCGGCACCGGATCTCAGCGTCCGCGCTGCTGCCGATGGGGCGCTCTTTCGCCAGCTCGTGGCCGAGGGATATGACCGCTGTGCCGAGGCCTACCTCCGCCACTCGTCCGGTGAGGAGGATCTGCGCCTGGAACCCTTTCGGGAGCTGATGGCCGAGCTGCACGCAGGCGCCCATGTGCTGGATGCAGGCTGCGGGGCTGGTGTGCCGATAGCAACTCACTTCGATAGAAGTTTGGTTTTGAACACGGAGACCCGCCAAGACCTAGGGGAAAAAAAGGAGCAAATGGATGCGACATGACGATTGAACCCCCCTCGGTTACATAACCTCCTTATTCCAAAGACCATGTCGACACAAACTGGCTTTTTCCTTTCAGTGAGGCGAAGGCCATCGTGGACGATGCGCGGCAGATGCGCGTGACCGGAGTTGACATCTCTCCCCGGCAGATCGAACTGGCGAAGCAGCTGGTGCCGTCGGACCGGGCCACCTTCCTTTGCAGCGACATGACGGCCCTGGACTGCGAGGCGGAGAGCTTCGACGCGATCTGCGCGTTCTTCTCCGTCTTCCACCTGCCACGCCGGGACCACGCGGCGTTCTTCGCGCGCGCCGCGTCCTGGTTGCGCCCCGGGGGGCGTTTCGTGTTCAACCTCGGAGCTGGCTTTGAGGACGGCGACGGGGAATGCGGTTTGGAGATGGACTTTTTGGGAACGACCATGGTTTGGTCTTCGTACCCAAGGGATGATACAGTGAAGCTCTTGAGCGCGGCAGGCCTTTCATTGGTCAAGGACGAGCTACACACGGTGAGGACAGGTGATGAGGTCGACCGTGCAGGGCTTCAGTTTCGGTTCTACCACTGCAGAAAGACGAGTGATCCAGTGGACTGATGCGGTGGACTGATCCGGTGCCCACTTCTGCTTGCTGCGCCAAGCGCGCAAAGCTGCGCACGAGCCGAAAGGAGCGGAACGTTCCAGCAGGGCTGAGTTTCGACTGCCAGAGGTTCCGCATGCAGGATGAAGCCAAATCCGGATGGGCTTGGAATGGAACCGAACCTTAGTATCTGCCAAGAAGGTTCATCAACAGCAGAGCGGATTGTTGTTAGGATGAGCCTTCAAGAGGAGCGGATTGTTTCATTTCGCCAGCGTGGTGATAAAACACATGAACGCACCAGGGAGATCTCAGCCTGCCAGGGTTTGTCACTTCTCCTTTAAAATAGTATTACAATATATGATATGCTCCAGCATGTTTATAGTTGCCCAATCCCTGTGCTGCTTTCCCTAACAGACAGCCGATTTCGCCGGTGGAAGCTGCCCGGCGCCGCTGAGAACAGCTGCTGCTTTGAGGTCCTCCCGCGACTTGCTACTGGCGGTGCAGAGCTTTTTGGGCCGCATCTCCCGCAGCCTGGACGATATTTCGAGGGTTTGGAATTTCAGTGCGCCCCAGGCGAAACCAACCACCATTGGTTTACTGTAAGTGAGTGCTAGGCTTACCGAACAACAACCCTTGTTGAACTAAGGCCTTTGCACTACGAAACCAGGTCAATCTTTCATTGAATATGACAATATGGTCTTGGAAGCCTACGGTCCAGTCTTCCGATTCCAATCAGTGGTCTGGGCAGTGTTAAGGACATTCATTCTCCTTCATTCTTCTAGCTCTGGTCTCTTTATATAATATAGGTTCCGAAAAACTGGCCTCAGAAACCAGGAGTCCTCATTGAATCTCATTTAAACAATCACCACCTCTCTAGCTTCTGAACCCACCTCGCCTCGAGGGAGGGATGGTCCTGGTTCAAAGAACTCCGCTTGGTGGGCGTTTACCGGGGCCCACCAGCGAGGAGTGGACCTTCACAGCGCCCGAAACGACCTGGAGGCGCATCCAGAGGCGTGGAAGAAAGGGCGCGCTGGGTGGGTGGGGCTTTTGGAAGGTGGAGCGCTTGGTGGTGAGTGATGCTGGAGACCTGGCAGGTGGATTTGGTCTCTCCAGCTGCGTCTCAGGAAGTCTGCACTCCAAAACATTTCTTTCTTCGAACTGCTCCAAAATCCAGTTGTTCTCAAGACTTTCGGGTGGACGTCATGGCGTGTTCCTCGCTTTCCCTTGTGAAGACACCTTCCTTCCGTCTCCTTGGGGCTTCGCTCCCCCGCGCAGGGCGCCTTCAGCCCGCTGGAGCAGCGTCTGGCGCAACTGCAACGGCTTCGAGGCATCAAGCCTCAACAGCTGCAGGTGGACGTGCCGGGCAACGCCTACGAGGCGTTGGCCGTCCGTCCTGCCGGTCGGACGCGGCTCGAGGAGTTCGTTTTTGGGGGTTTTGAGACGCAAAGACGTCGTCGTTGTGGCCCCAAGAAGGCGGCCAAGCGGAGCCTCTTCGGCGAACAGGATGGAACACGATGGCACTGGCGCATTGATCCATCGTGGGAACCGAAGGAATGGGGCTCAGTGGACATATGGGAATCGTTTGCCACAAGACATGAGGCATGGATCCGTCGGAATTCACTCCATCGGAAAGAGGATGGTCGTTGATTCAGCTTTCCGCTCGAGCACGGACGGAAACCCGGCAAGACATGGGGCACCTGTGACCAGCCGGGTCACTTGGTGGAACGGGACTTTGAGTCGTATGTGGGAAGCTTCAAACAGAAGGAACACGTTTTGGAACGGTTGGTTTTTAATGAAGAAACTGGTTGAGTGGCTAGCTCAACCGCCCTGGGGGCAAAGCACTGAAGCATTGGGGGTGTCTGAACTTACCTGTCACAGGTGGTAAACAATTAGCATGATTTTAGAGGAAGGCCTTTACTAACCAGGAATAGGATAGACCCAAGTGAAGCACAAGTATCCACTGAAAGACACATTTTATAGATACTGTAAATACTGTAATACTATTATTGATCTAAACCAACCTACCAGCACCTTACATGACTCAACTGGCTAGTCAATCCGCATCCCTCACAGAGAAGTTCGAGCGAGCAGCACGGGGCCTCCTGCCACATCCTAACTAGGACAACCCGGGGAGTCTTTCCAACTCGTATCACATGGGGGGACCTCCCAATTTGAACCCCCACTAGAGGAAGGAAAACACATCAACACCCAATAGAAGACCTCCCAAAGACCTTTGAAGAAGAAGACAACAACTCCACATGGGGTGCATCCCATGGTAAAAATACACACCCCCCTTCTCATCGCGAGGATGACCCCTGGGCTCAGCCGCTTGGCTCGGATCCGTGTGTGGAGAGCGGACGTGTGAAACGGGCCCCAGGAATCTCAGGCTTCTCACTCCTAATCATATCCCAGGAAGCCTCAGAAATCCCAAGAAATCAAGAAATCCCAAGAAGTCCAGTCCCTGTTCTTCCAGTTTAGGGAAATCCAGAATTCCCAGTTCCACCAGCTGTGACCCATCCCCTTCTCATTCCCAGGCGAACCGGGAAATGGTGGTGTTGCCCACCCCCTTCCACCCCGCCCCGTGCGCCGTGCTCTTCCGCGGCCCTCCGGAGCGGTTCCGCGTGGCCGGGCCCAACTCGTCCATCTCAGGAGCTCCGAGCTGGCGGCCTCGTGCTTCGGCGCGCTGGGAGGTCGGGTCCGGGGGGGCGGGTCCGACACGCGTGGAGCCGGGACACGCCGAGCGGACACACGCGGCCGAGCGGGGTCGGAGACTCTCCCCAAATCGGAGGAGCCAGTGGTTTTGATCCCCCCCACCCATTTTTTTTGGAAAGACCTGTTTTTTCAGGGGTTTTGGCTCTTACCACGAGGGTTGTGGACTTTTTTGGACGTAGAAGTAGGTTCAGGTCCATGAGTCGTGATGTGGTGGTCCTTTCATCACGTGGTCCAGCCAAGCAGCTTGGGATGCTGCCTTGCCAATCGGCAGTTCACAAATGGCAGACCTTGAGAGGCATTCAGTTTCGGCTTCATAACGCAGAAACCAATACAGCAATAATTGCACCCCATAACCCACTTCCACGTCGAATAATCCAGTTCCATGTCAGGGTGCCTAACTTTGGAGGATAGGATGCACCCAGAACAACATCCGCTCACTGGATGGGGCTGAAATCAAGAAAACCAACGGTTTTGCTCGTGAACCCGAGCTCCCTCGAACGTCTCGACCATGAAGCGATGCCCTCCTCGAGGTTCACATTGTTATCATGAGCCTTGCGGGAATCGTTTCTTCAGCAGAGATTGAGCTAGACGGCTAGTCTACCAAACCAGGTGAAGCTCCCTTTGGCCAAGGGTTTGGTACCGCAGGAGGCTATCTCAAGGGCTTTTGCGGCCCTTCGCCTCCTTGGCGAAGGTCGCCCGCGTGACTTCTCCCACCGACAGGAAAGAGAAGCCCAGCGCAGACCGGCGAAGGAGGGAGTTGCGAGTTGTTCGGGTGGAAGGATGCCACTGAGTTTGTGCCACACGGGATATAGCAACTAAGTGGTCGGTCCCAATCCTGGTGGATCTCTATCGGTTCCACTGTGCGCCACTGTTGTGGTCAAGTGCCAAACCCTTGTGGACGGCACGCTGCGCCGCAGCGGTCATGATTTTGATTTAGCTGGACGTACCATGACGGAGTTTGCCCTCTCCCCACAGCCCAAGCCTGGTAGAGGGTGATCCTCGTGCCTGGATCCGGTCCACAGCACAGTCCACGGCACGAGCACCGCTGCCGCTACAGCAGGAGAGCCGGAGCGCGCAGGCGGCTGGGCCAAGGGCGTGGGCTATGGCTCTGATACCATCACAGGAGCGGACGTTTCAACTTGGGCATGTTCTTTTTGGAGAGTGGGGCGCTGTGCGAGTGAATGTATTCCAGTGTTTTTTTGGTGTTGGTCCTTTTCTGTTTTGTTTGGGGAACGACACTGTGGTAGAGTTGTTGTGGTGACAGGCGTTAGTGATGGTTGAGGGTTTCTACTTGTAGCATGTTGTAGCCAGGTGTGTCAGACAGTTCTATACAGACAAAAACCAGGCAGCAGCATAGCCTTTTTAGGAACATGAGATTTGGCGCATTTCTGTGATAAATCGAAGGCAGAATAGGAGAGAAACAGCATGACCGATCGGATGCATCGGCTGGGAGGACGTAGTAGTTGGGACCCTGCTGCCATGCATGCTGCGCAGCAAGCACAGGAGCCTGAGCCTTTCGTTTGGTCGGAGTCCTTGTTGTGATGGGGAGCCCGAACCCATCCGAACCCCCAGCTCATGGAGGACTGGTGCCAATTGAGCAATGGTTCCTGTCAGAGTTCAATAACTGTCAATAGGGATCGGGTCCCAGTATAGTCGCTATACAGGTACATGCCATATACATTTTGGCTCAAGTGCCCAACCAGGTAAAAAGGAGCTTTAGCGCGCGAGCTTCATGTTGACCTAAGAGCTAGAACGGGGCCAGGGCACACCTTTCCATCCGTTCGCAGGTTATCAGCCGTATCCAGACTCCTTTGAGCTGGGTACGAGCTGCGGCCTTACACAACACCATCTAAACGCACACGCATCGGATAGACCAGTTACCCTCAGTCACTGAAGATGGACCAATCCGACGCCAGCACTGCATCTTTTGGAGCAGCTGCTGCGGCCGCAGATCGGATGAGTGCATCCCACAACTCTAGTCCAGGTACGATCGAAGTGGAGACTCTGACAGCGGTGAGAGAAGATGCGACAGGTAGAGCACGAAGTCGTTCCCCGTCAGCGCACTCGACACCACCGTGGGGGACACCGAGATCAGGCCGTAGCCCTAGGGAGACAAGGAGGAGGACTGACACCGGAGCTGTGAGAGTGTTAGCATTGCAGGATGGGTCAGCTGTACCAGTGCCGTCGGACAGCGAAGCTGGAGATCGAGCAAGGGCAAGCACTGACAACCTACAACTAGCACGGGCCGATGGAGACCTGAATGCGAAGTGTGCGCTGCGCAACTACTTGCCGAAGTGCATATGTT